AATATTAAAAATATTACTCAATATTTAAGTAATATTACTAATATTACTTATTATTGGTAAAAGTATCTCCTGCATTCATTAGTTGTTTTAGATCAACTGTGAGAACAGCCTCTAGAATAAAACATGAACACTTCTTGGTTACTGTTTGCTGCAGTGTAGTCTCAAGTAATCAATTCATCCTCAGCAAGAACAGCTTCACAGGAATCTAAGAACTTTAGCATATTAAAGCTAGTTAAAAATCTAGCGAATAGAACAGGAAATTTATTCTTCCAGGCCTTTGTATTTAAAACAAAGTCTTAATTTACAACATTAAGTGTGTTATCACTAACTAAATCCAAATCCCACTGTCATAGACGCTTTCCTCTCTCTTATGCCTGCATCCCCAGCCCAGTGAAAAATGTTCTGCTCGAAGTTGAGAGCATCTTAGCACAAATGATGTCTTTATCATGTTTGATGCAACTTTGAAAGTGGAGTAATTACACTGTTCATGATAGAATATGCTTCAGACTTAGCTGTATTTAATTTAGATAGACATATGGATTATAGATGAGGGGTTTTTTTAAAATTTTATTGTTTTTACCTTCAGAGCATTTGCCTGTAAGTGATGCAATAACCAGAGAATCATTTTAAAGCTCAGTGAGTATACCCCACCCCATGAAACATCAGGGCTGTTATTTAATTCAGTCATGAAGGCATGGAAATGAACATAATTCCAGGGTGTGGGCCTTAATCTTTATGCTTCATTGTACAATATGTGGACCAAAAGAAGAAACTACACAGTAACGACAGCACTGAAAAAGCCTTTTAAGCGTTTGAAAAAGCTTGTCAGTGCTTTAAGTTGTAACAGTTTAAAACAAAAATTGTAATACAATGCACAGAGGAGTCTAGTTTTTTAACACTTGCTTTTATGCCAGCTTCAGTGGTAGAGACAACAATGTTATGACATTTTCTAAAGCTTAATGCCATGACTCTTGTCGGAAAAAAAATAAAAATAATATTGCGAAGGCTAAGTAGATAAGCAATTTCCCCTGTTGTTAATTTTAAGACTGGTTTAGTGTCACCCACTATTCATGAACTGATTTCTAATGTAGGTACATCCTGCCTATAGATAGTTCCGTTTCTTTTATGCTCTTTTTGTGAAGCTTAATCCAACACAGAGCTTGGGAAATGCCTGAAGAACACAGCACAGATTATCTTGGGAGACTTATATTCCTTATGAGTATATCGAAGATGGAACAAATAAATAATGCTGTCTTTCTAATTTGGAGGATACCTACAGTTCTATTTACTGATTTAAAAGGCCACAACTGGTAAATGTTCAATGTTCAGGGGAGAAGCATAAAGGAAAAACAGACTAGTAAAAAGGATTTGGATCAAAGACAGAAAATCATACATTCACCTAAATACATTAGAGGAACTGTCACTCTGTTAAGAAATTAAGCCGGGCTTGTATTAAATAATCAGGGTGTAAGAGAACTTCCATTGTACACAGAACATCTACGAGGTGACCTGTTTTACTGAACTGTTATAATGCAGTATCAGAGGATGCCAGTAGCTGAAACTGTGGCATGTTTCTGTAATGAGTCTATTTAAGGAAGAACTGCAGAGGAAAAAAGAAGGGAGCACTAAGGACAGCAAGAATAAATAAAGCTGGCTGTATCAGCTCTTCACCTTCTCCTTTGAAGGCTGGGAAACCAAAAGACCTGCCATCTCTCTCCTTACAGCACACTGAGCTGATAGGGAAAAACACTAAAAGCAGACCATACTTTTACTGTCTGTAGCCTGCAATGTAGGAGAGAGAATTTAAATATTCATTTTTTTTCTGCCAGGTAACATTAGCATTGCACATTGCTATTTCATAAAAGAAGGCGGCTATTTATATCCCATGCTAAAAAGTCAAAGGTACACACATGCTCATATTTTCAGATATGACTGTGTAACTATTTGCACAAAAATGTGCCTGTATTTCCACTCCAGCTGTGCAAGGTCTACTCAAGAGTTTTTTCCACATACAGCAATAAGCTTACATGTATGCCTTCTTACTCTTACAGTCACTTCACATATGGTTTTGAAGATGTGGGAAAAGATCAAACCACTGTGAACATCAATCACTTACAGTAGGCCCTGCAGTTCAATTAGTCCACCTGGAGCTTGCTCACACAGCATTTAGAAGGGCTGAGGTGGAGCATTTAGAGCTACTGAAGATGCATATTAACAGCAACCATCTTGAGCATGGATATTCCTAGGCATGTAGGTGCCTAACCTCCACCGAAACAAATGGGAATTGGACATGGAAACGCCTGTGAGGATCTGGGACCTTGTCCATTCTGCCTCTGGGTTCGTTGTTTTCTCTCCAGCTCCCTCTGGTGTCCTAAACAACATATTATCATCAACTCACTGGACCGCACTATCGATTTTGCAACAAGGCACTGGACGCTACATAGGCACGCCCCGTGACCTTGGATACACCGCCTAGTTGCATCCATATGCAATGTTAAAACTTACAGAGTGGCTGAATTGGCACTCAGTGCTTTCCAAGATCAGAACTGAGGCTTGAGAAAACACTAAAGAAACAGCAACCTTTTATGAGCCTTAGCTGGCACTGAAGATGGTCAAAGGACTTACAGAGCACCAGCATGACCTTCATTGAGAAGTAATAAACAAGAAAAAAGTGCTCAAAAAACCCATTATTTTACACTGAAACATGAAGATATTAATTCAGAGAGAGGAAAAAAAAACCACCATTCAAAAAGCTTCCTCCAAAATAGTTAAACTGTCCAGAAGCACTACTTCCACAGTCTCATCAATTTGCAATTGCTAACACAAAAAAAAAAAAATTTTACTCACCATCTCCAGGCACTGACATGAAATGAGCATCAACCCGTTTTTCATCCTCTCCATACTCATTCTTTGCCAGTAAGGTATAAGCACCATTATTCAGGTGGGTAGGATTGTCCAGCTGAAGGCAGCCATGGTATTCACTTTGATTGATAACATGTATTTTAGTACAGATGTATTCAGACTCATTCAGTATAGCCCCTTCATAGAACCACTGCAATGTGGGCTTAGGGTTCCCTTTCACAGTGAATGGAATACACCAGTGGTGGTCCGGGGTTGGAGATTCAATAAATGTGATATTTGGTGCAACTATATTGGAAAAAAGAGTGAAGAACATCAGAATATTCTACACATGTCTTTCCTCCCTTCACTCCCTGTCCCCCAAAGTTATCAGGGAAGTATTTTCATTCATCAGTACAAAAGTATGTTATTAGTAAGAATGATACCTATTTGGAGGATACTCACACAGGAGCCTACCTGCTCTGCCTACGGTACTATGCTCACAACTGAAATTAAGCCATTCTTTACAAAGAAACAAAACAAACCATTTTCAGACAAAGACTGAACACCTGTTAAATCACTTAAATGCTTAAAGGTGTGGAAAGTTCAGATACAGAATCACTGAGATACTGAGAAGGGGGAGAGAGACAATTTATTCTGCTGAAAAAATGGTGAAGAGGAGTGCTGAAGGAACACAACAGTGTTGAAAATACTTAAAAGTTAGCCAAAAGCAAGTAGTACTGGAAATATATTCAGCTAGGAATCCAAATTTTCAGATTATTTTCTTCACAGAAGCATAGCCAGAACAGATGACTTAATTCCCTGGGTTCATTTGTCAGGGAAAGATGATTTTCTACTATACATTGTCTCATTCTTTGTTCAAACTTGATAAATGCCTCAAGTCTACATTCTTGTTCTGCTTCCCTCAGAAGATTATTCCAACACCTTGCCCATTATTTCACTATTGGGAAATTTTCCTTGATATTTATCCTTAACTGCATCCAATTTCATCTAGTTATGCTCCCTTTTATCACTCATAACAGTGCCAAGCTCAGAATCTCAATTAGAGTGTTCAAACATTTCTAGTGTATGTCCCTTCCCATAGCTATTACATATCCAATTTCAACCTACAAACCTACATCTACAGTAATCTTTCTAGTTTACTCTGCCATGAGTCCATGCTGAACAAAGTTTACCATATACAAAGCGTTCCATTCACATCTTCAATGAAACAGGGAGTTGCAACTTGTGGAAACATGCTGTCTAGTTCACATAAAACTAATTCAGGCTGGAGTTAGATCTAAGAAGCGAGTGCCTCTACACTACATGTTCCTTCCCCTTTTCTTGGGATGGACAAATAAGTATATTATTCAAAACTATGACAAATAAATTTACACCAGGCAGTACGCACGTTACAAGCATGTTATTTTTTGAGCAAAGCAGTTGTTGCTTTAAACAATAAGAACTTAAACATTTGTAGTCTCTTATGTAATTCTATGAGCCTTTTGATGCATTCACACTTCTTAATTCCTAAGACAGTGCCTATGTACATGCACACCATTACGAACCTTCCCATACTGACAGTACCATTGAGAATTCTGGGTTTCAGACCTTTACTTACAGACCGTTCTAACTGGAAGATAAAGCATTTAGAAATACACTTTTTGCAGAACATAGGGCTGAAAAAGATAAATACAACTGCTGGTTGTGTTTCTCCTAGCATTAACTGCAGCAGATAGCTCACATGCCTTAAGGGTTTTTGTTTCAACAACCTGTGTGCTCAGAAAATATTTACGCCCAAAATAGTTGCTGTCAATGCAGTTTGGCCTTGGGAGCTGTATGGAGGCCTGCATACGTACAGAATACCGTGAGCTCGGCAGAGGCTTGGTCCTCTCCCACAATGTTCTCTGCTACACAGGAAATCCACAGTCCACTGTCCATGGATGAAACGTTCTTTATGGTCAGTGAGGCAGGGTTCTTACTTGTGTCACTCTACAAGCGATCAGAAAAACATGTATGTGTAAACTGCAGCATACAGAACAAGGGAGAGACAGGGAATCATTAGACACGGATGAACGGCATTCTTCATTTTCCCTTCTTTTTAGCTGCATTGGCCCACAATTAATCAAAGCCTTACTTTAATGTCTTACCAAACAGCCACAAAACATCTACATAACCAATTAACTGTCAATAGCAGTGGATTCAAAGCTCTAGAAGTCCTGCAACAAACACTGTACTCAAGCATTTTTCTGTCCTGTTACTTTAAGTTTCTGCTTTTTTTAAAACACTTCTTACCCTCTACACAAACAGCCTTACCCTTGCTCACCCGTCTTCTACTTCATGACTGATTTCTATGGTCTGTCTCTGCTCCCTTGAACTTTTTCTTCCCTCCTACATTCTGTTCAATCCTTGCTTTGCTCTTCCTTTTTTCTATTTGCTCTACACTTGCGCTTGACATCTCTTCCACTGCTGCTTTCTGAGCACTACTGTACATTGACAACAATGTGTCTTCTCCCTCCTCCTTAGTCAAATTTCTCTTCAAAGCTCCTTCTTCTCATGTAACTTTCCATGAGAAATTATATACCTTCTACTACCTAAGCAACTGCCCAAGTACTGTTATATGTGTTTAAGCACAGGTTAATCAAGGTAAGAATTATGATTCTTGGAAATATTGATTCTTATGATTCTTAGAAAGCTCAGTGCCCATTTACAGCCTTAAATGCCATATTGAATACGCAGCTATGCAACATTGAATAAAGCAAAAAGAGCTTAATTACAAAAAAAAAATTAAAGATAGCAAAGCTAGTTCTTAAAGACTCTTTTTTCTCTTAAATCAGGTCCTTCATATGATCTCCAAATAATTACTATTTCCATACTTGAATTTTCATAAAATGCAAAACTATTTTCCTAAATAAGGATAGGAAAAAACCACATTCAGAAAATAAACAATAATTAGGATAATTTTTAAAAACTGCTTTTCTTTGTGTACACATACACACACTTCAGTGCTGCACAGAACACAAATACCATACTGCATCTGTAAAACCACAGTGAGTTGCAGTGGCAGTCAATGAAGACATGCAGGAACACTCCTGCATACAGTCCTGTAGGACCAGAATTTTGAAGCTCGAGATGACACCCTAACTCCACTTGAGTCAAATGTCCCTTTGACTTCAGCGTGACACTATGGGAGCTGAGTGGAAAGGCAAACACCCCATTACACCTTGCTCCATGCACAACTCTTAGCCGGTGAGAAGTGCTCAAAGCTGGATTTATAGGGGCTCAATTGCAGGCTCAGGGCTGAAATCTAGAGCGAGAAAAATCTAACCAGCATCCAAAACATTATACATCAGCACAGAAACCAAGAGCATACGGTTAGCTTTGCAGGACTAGAATTTAGTTTTAACTTTTGTTAACAACTCTCTTTTTAAAACAGGAGAGAAAACAGGCAAAAAGCAGCACGAGGTGAAGAAAAGGGATGTAGAAACTGAGATACGGAAGTGAGAGAAAGAAAAACAAAACACCACTCACAGAAAAGGGAAGGATTGTTGTGAATGGCAAATGAGGTTTAAAAGGCACCTACTCTTCTGCTACCGAAGAGACTACTGTGCTCCACAACTAAGGTTGTCGCTAGCCTATATTATGAGCCCTCTGAAATCTCAAAATGAAGTTATGCCAGGACAGAATATTTCTGGAAACCTTGAAGCAAACTGACCATGGCATTTCAAAGATAGGAGGGTTCAAAAATTAGGTGATCTCACTTTTTGAACAGCATCCCACATTTGGTTTGGCTCATAACCTAAAAAAAGGAAAAAAAAAAAAAGAGCAAGCACAACTTGGCACAGGTTGTCTTGCTCTGGATGACAACTGATGCCTTTGGGTAGTTTTACGAATTAGAGGAAATTTTAAAAATAAAACTAGAGTTCTGCAGAGCTCTTACTTACAAGAGCTGAAAGACAGGCTAGTCAAGTTGTATATGGGCCCAATACAATGACCTTCAAGGAAGAAAGTACAACAATTACAAGACCTCAGCGGTCCTGTCTCTTCCGCACTGCAGGAACAGTTTTGGAAGTACACATCCTGTGCTTTGTATGGACCAGGAAGCTTTAGACAGTCTGCACCATCACAAATGTTGGAAAGCCAATGCCATAAAATTGCAAGTAACAGAGGGTCTTGCCCACTGGGTAAATAATGGCAATTTAAGAAGTCAACTGCTCTGTGTTGAAGATCTGCTTCTATGCTTCTCCTTATCAACACTTCATGAGAAAAAACTTAATCATGCTATCTCCAGTATGTACACACAGTCTAAGGTAGGGACACAGAATCTTAGAAAAGAGAATTCTCCCTGCCTAGATGATTTTATTGAGGAAACACCTTCATACTGCATTTAGGAAAAAAAAAAAAAAAAAGGGAAAAAAATGGACATTCTTTTTAGTAAAACTTTCACTTCAATTTCCAAGGCTTCCTGTTGTTGCTTTGTTTGTTGAAGGAAAATTAAACAAGCCACAAAATTATATTTACAACCAAATTCCAAGCTTTTGGACATGAAAGCATAACAAAAATAGAGACACAAAGCTTTTTTTCATGATTAGGGTAGATGAGATTTATTCTCTGCATGCAGGTATCAGTGATAATAAGAAAACCCTTGTGTTTCAGTATCCCGAATCACCACATCACTTCCAAAAAATTACATTACTCTGATTTACAACTGAACATCCAAAACTCAGAGTGCAAATCAGAGTCACAAGGAGAGAATGCCTGCCATTCTCCAGAAGCACTGTGGCAGTCACCCCGGACTGAAAGTAACTGGAAAATAAATGCAATCTCAACATTAATTTTGTATTTAATCTTTTCAGTAATAAGTTAACTAAAGCTGGACATGAACCTTCATTCCATCCTTCAGCAGGTATCTCCTGTCTCTAAATTGTCACATATTTGAATATGAAACTTACCTCATGGTTTGAAACAAGATTAGTGAGCACCCAGGACACATTAGGGGGTGGCCCGCCAGTAGTATCACAGTACAACGTGACGCTCTTTCCTTCCACCACGGTGATGTTGTAATTGCTTAGGCTCGCTGAGGGCAAGTCTAAGATAGAAACAATAACAAAAAAAAAAACCCCACACACACATTTGTATTTGACAGAAATAGACACCACTCAATTCTAAGCAAGCTGTATAAACGCAAGCACAAAACACCACTAGATCAGATATGTAACTGTGGTCAGTTACTATTTAGTCAGGGAGTACAAACAGCATCTTTGGAAACATAAAACTAAAATCTTTAAGCTGCTATATAACATTTTTCTGTGCCTCCTCCACCTCATATCCTAAGAAAACATTCATGCATGTGGAAATACATTAAGTTTATAATATAGGGAAATGTTTCAGGTGGGCAAACAGAAGTTATCCTAACCTCAGTTTTTAACTTCAAAATGAAAAAAGAGCCTCCCCTTATTCTTTAAAACAGGAAATTTAATCTGTCTCTTTTTAACAGCTACAACGAAACTTCTCTTTTCCACGAACTGCCATTGTGGTATTCCCACTGTTTTCCACCACACTACCAGAAAAATCCCATCATCTCCCAGTATCACACAAGAGATTGCAGCCCTCCCTCTCATATAGAGACACAGATCACAGAGAGCAGGGCAAAACCTAGATGCAAGTACACAGAGGAAACAGAGCAATAAACAGATCAAATGAATGGACAGAAAGGACAGAAGAGAGTGTTAGCTATTGCACAGAGCTGCTATCCACAGCACCTCAGCAGACTTCGCTATTGCCCTCAGGAAAGCAGAAAAGCACTGAGATGGAACCACTCACCAGAAAACAAGCCCAGATTTTGGAAATCAGGAGTCCTCCTCCATCCACAGAGCTATAAATCACTCTGTATCTCATTCTTCAGCACCCAAAGCAAAGGGAGCTTCCCAAGATTAAATATATGCTTAATGCTTACAAAAACATAAGGAATTATAGATTGATCCTCTTCAAAAATAATGCCAGCAATATCATTAGACTTCAGGCACAGAGGACCTCACATTTTGTCTTTATTTTCATAGCAAATAATTATACAAAGCGCTAGAAATAGCATATTTTTCTTAAAAGATATTGTGCCATCATTTGGAACTGCTAGACTCTGTAAAAAACCTTGGTCTCCTTTATGAAGAATTGCTCATCAACTGTTCCAGGCAAGTTTTACTTGCAATTTATCATCTCAAACAGTCAAGTTTGTCTGTTGTGCCAGATATGTATGCATGATCCTGCAATGACTTTTCTTTTCTGAAAAAACAGTTCTCTTTTTTTTTTTTCATGTTTTGTTTTTTCAGTTCAGAGTACAATAGTTTCACCATGGACTTGCAGGCACAGCAGCTTAGCAGAGACTTTTTTGCTTAGGTAAAAAAGTCCCATACAAACAATTAACCAACAAATCAGTGTGAACATTTTAATGTGTTTGCTAGAACTTCAATAGAAGCTATATATATTGGAAATCTCCAATTTAATTAAGTTTAATTAGTCCAATAAAAATTAAATGAGAGGAAGTAATGCCAAAGAGAAGACAAACAGTTTTCCATGCAATGCTTTCTTGCTTAATGACGTTTGAAGATCAGTGCTAGTATACAATAACTGCTTAGGAAATTCTCCCAGTGCTTTAGGTAGTTCTGTAATATGATTCCCGTTACAGGCATCATGGATTTCTTCTATTATGTTCACTTTATAAATCACACATTGAAGTTTATTGAGAGAGAGCTGGAGAGTTTGTACGCCTTGCTGCAGTAATCTGTTAGCAAGGTAGCCATCTGCTCTTGCCTGCTGTGAATTCAAATCTCAGCAGTGTCTGTCAACTAGCTGGGCAGGAAATAAAACTAATCTTAGGGAACATTTGGATATTAATTATGCTGGTTAGAGAACAAGGAGAGAAGTAATGGGGTAATTTACTTTATAAATTTACACTTCCACACCACCTCTGAAAACCATTCCAACTACTTTTGCCAGACCTGAACGTGTGAAGAGATTAAAGTTCCACATTTCTTCCTGGCCCTAGCACTTTGGACAAGGTCTACATGGCAGATTAGCCTGCACAGTTCCTACCAACACATCATTTCACATGAAACCTCTCACGTAAGCAAAATAAAAACAACTTTGGTCCCTTAGAGCTCTCCTTTAATAACTGCTAAGTTATGAGACAACTCCTTCCTGCAGTGTCTTTATTTACAAGACAGGCAACTGAAGTTTAATTCCTCTGGTACTGGTTCTGCTTCCCACCCAGAATTAGAGCTAGTTCTATTTATTTGCAAAAGTCTGTATGTCATGTTGATGTTACATCTCTGAGGGAAACAGCTGCATTGTGCCTGTATCCTGCCATAAGGTTATAAAATAATAGTGCTTATTATTCCCTAGATTCCTAAAGTTACACTAGAAACCAGTTGCAAGATCCAGCAGAAAACATTGCATCAAAAACATGTAAGTAGGATAGGATAGGATAGGATAGGATAGGATAGGATAGGATAATCACATTATTGTCTGTGTTTTCTTTCACTCCCTTTTCTAGTCATAAGAGGTGGGTGGAAAACACATACAAGAATTGCCTTGGAATTCTTTTTTTTTTCTGGTTGGATATCTTAAGTTAGTGAACTTTAACTGCAAGGTCATTTTGGCTTTTATCTCCAGTGGCACTCAGACTGCTCCACAGTAGAATACACACTAGTTGAGAAATGGCTCTGTTTGGAAGGGCAGACAGTAGCATAAGACCTCATATCCAGAAAAATGTGATACACTGGAGTTACCAATAAAGCAGTGAGACTAAGCAGCAAAACCTGTACTGAAAAATAACTATATTTTAAAAACCACAATGCACCATAACACCCACGTATGCTCAGTGAGAATGTTCAGTGTAGTGTGAAACCATTTATACAAGCCAGTAGCATTCTGACACCTACACAATTACAAAGATGTCCAACCATGCTGCATTTACTCCTGAATCAATTTGGTTAAATACAGTGTTTTAAAGGACTGTCGCTTCTGTTGATACAGATGTACATTTTAAAGGACTTTATATCCAGTAACTGATACAAGCAATCAGACAACAGGTTCAAACACTTTTGTACACTGCCAGCATAGTAAATTTAGACTGTAGCAAAAAACCCATGCAAGGTAGACACGACATCACCTTTCCACAAGCCTCATTTTGATCTCTCTCAGACATAGATTACCCTGTGCCCCAAAGCTTGAAACACAATATCTCTTTCAAACTTTGATAGCATTGTTATAATTCTGGATATCAGCAATAGCCCTGCTAGTATCCCATTTCTTTTTTAAGTTTGCTATAATCTTGGCCTTAATAGCTTTCTGCAGCAATGAGTTTCACAGGCGTACTGTCCAGGCCACATACAAGAGCCATTCCCTTCTACCAGTTCTGAAATTTGTCTTGTGATGTTCGAATTCATCGAGTGCTCTCCTGTTCCAATGGGACAAAGAAAAGAGAGTTTCTGAACAACATTCTTAAGACCACTCAGTTTTATTTCATTTTCTCAAGTCCCCCTTATTCTCAATAATCTATCCAAAGCTTTTCAATCTCTACAAAAATGAGTTTAATGTTTACAAATTCCAAAGGTCTTTTCTTAGGGGCTTTTATGGGTTTAAGAAACAAAGCAAAAGACTTCCTAGTAATTCTAGCTATAAAGGTAGAAGCTGTTGGATATGTGATACATCTCCTGTGTTTCACTTAGTAACTGTCTACAGCCAACAAGACCCAAGCCAAATTTCAGCCATGAGGTTAGCGGGCATGTTTTCACTGAAGTCTGCAGAACAACCAGGCCAAAAATCACCCTGGCTGCATCTTTAGAGTCCTATAAACAGGATACCCCAAAAGTTTACATTAAAAACTTGCATTAAAGAAATATAAATCCTTGTTTCCATTTCCTGTCATATCACAACCACAAAAGCAAAATGCTCAAGACATAGAAATAATCTCACAGAAGTTATTCCAAGATTACAACCACAACCACATTCAATGAAAATAAAAAACAATATGTTAGGCGAATAAAACACAGGATTAACAGAAATGAGGAACATTTAAAAAATTTTCATCTTTCATATATCTTCTTTTTTCTGGAGCCCAAAGATCACTTTCCTCTCCAGCTATAGGTAAGAGAAGCCCGCAACTTCTTATTTCACTGCTCTAGCCAACAGGCACTATTCTCCAGTTCTCCACTGTAACTATGTCACTATGTACAACAAAACTTGACATTTCCCTTGGTTTAAAATTAAAAGTAAAGGCACTAATCTGAAAGGTATAAGGGGGAAAGAGGAAAAGGAATCCTGAACTATGATCCTTTCCCCCAGTATACTTCCATATTCTGCCCAATGAGTGTTGATATAAATTAAAGAAACCGTCCCAGATCAAAACCTTTTCAGCTCTTTAGGAGAATATACAGTCATTGAACAGAGCACTGAGTAATCACTGAATAGAGATACCCTCACCACATGGCACAGCAAATCTTGATGGGTGTTTTGCACAATGACCATGGTATTTTGCACACATCTGACAGGGTTAACCTAGAATAGTCTCAAACACTCTACAGGTTGGTGGTGAGGACGTTATCCCAAAAGTTGTACGTTAGATTCTTGAACTGAACCTGAATCCAGAGAAGGATGACAAAATCTTCTCCTCTAGCCACTATCTTTTTTTTTTAAATCTTAAAAAAAAAAAAGGGGGGGGAGCTGCTCTTATTAAATCCTTTTGAAAGGAAAAGCACAAATTCATACCGTTGGGAGAGATTGAGTCCAAATGTAGAGTCTCCTTTCCAAAGCCCTGAGAAGAGCCATTCAGACCAGAGTTTAGGACTCTCCCATGCCTTCAGCATTTCCCAACGAGGAGTTGGAAGGCATATGCATACTGTGAACAAGCTCTTCTTGCTGGATGTGCTTGCTGCTTCAGCATACCTTCTAAGAAGTCCAACTCTCATTTTCTTAACACACCAGATCTGACACTCAAAACACCCACCTCACTAGTCTATGGAGGAAGGTCTTTCTTTTGGGAAGCAGAATGAGTGATGTGCCAGCTCACTGAACCACCCAAATATTTTAGAA